AGAATGTAATCTAGTATCAGGGACTAATTTCACCGTGGTTCCTTCCCAGAGAACACATTTGATTGTTATTATTTTCTGCTGATTCCGTTGGAAATTCTGATACCATAATCTCATAAATTTGACTCTAGGACCCTCCTTTTACACTTTCTTTTTCCTTCTAGTTATTCAAAGCAGCGCCTTCAGCAAAAGTTTCTTTGTTATTCTTTAACTGCTTTTCAGCATGTTTCCTTTGTTGTTGTAACTGATGTTAAGATTATAGAAAATATCCTCCTATTCTTCTTTAATTGGAACTCTGCCAAGTCTCACTTTAACTAGGATTTTTTCCTTACTTTCTAGTTGAATTGGAATAAAACTTACTTCTTTTAGCCCACTTTCAGTCTTAGGCTCTTCCAACAGCAAGAATTCCCTATGGGAGTCCTTATTTCCTACTGCCTATTCACATGCTGTGTCAGAGTTACAAATACCGAGTCGTACTCATGTTCAGTCTTTTACTGTAAAAAAACAGCTTTTCTTTTAACGTCTTTTCACTTCTTTGTTTACATGATATTGCAGGAGTACTTTACAGAACATACAGCTATATTTTGCCGAACTTTCTATCCCATAAAGTTGTGGAACCATCATCAGGTTGAAGATTGCCTGCTGAAATTGTGCCACACTCTGATCCTCCTTATCATCACTTGAATATTGTAAATTGTGAGAGGCCACAACGTTAAGACAATGATGAAATTCAGTGCTGCAGGCACAGATATGCTACATCAAGCATGCTACATCATACTATGCCTTAGCAATTATATTTGAATTTTTCATAAACATTGAAACAGTACAGGCTGTTTGTAGTGCTGTATGTTTAAAATTGTTGTATTAATTAAGTGAGTCATCTTAACTATTCTTACCTTGTAACAGCAAGGTGCGAGCAAATCCTCTTTTAACTATTCAAATTGTCATCCTATTCTGAAGCAGAGTTTAATTAAGCAATATGTTTAAGTAAAGGATAAGTACAGACAACACAGTTATGCTTGAATTCAGACGTATGATTGGATGTATTGAGCTAGATGATAAGCACAAATACCATTCAAATACTTTACAAATTCATACCACAGCCACTCACAGTGACACTTCATGTGAACTTCATAAGCACTTCGAGGTGTGATAAAGTTCTGCATTTGTGACAAGGAAAAGTGGAAAATAAGAAAAGGAGGAAAATAAAATACAATATTTCCCAGTCAGCACAGAGTAACAAGAAAGTGATCTCTGAAGGATGGAGGAACCAAAATGGAGTCTGTTGTGGTAAAGGGAGGCAAAACAAGACTGAGCACAGGTAGAACTTTTTTTTCCTCCAAAAATCACTCTGTGATTAGGGTTTTTTTTCAGTTGTACAGATCCAACGTTCAAGGATTCCGGTATTTTTATTTTTAAAAAACATATTTTAAATATATATATATTTATTTTTATATTTTACCTCCTACCTCCTTCAGCTTGGAAAGAAATTCCACTTTAAAATGTTCTAATTATGCTTTTAGTAATTCAAACAACCTAGTGAGTGACTTAATGTGATGGGCCTTCCTTAGTGGTTAAAGGCAGAAAAGAGTTCTGTCTGTTCAATTTTCTATTTAATTTTCCAGGTTAATCTTTTATTTAGAGGAGTCAATAAACATTTTAACTGAGACAAATAGTTGCATGGTACTTAAGAAATCATTTCAGATTTCTGGAATGCCCTTCAGTTTCCAGAAATCCATTTTTTTATATGCTGTTACAGACATCCTGGCAAAAAGAACCAGGGAACGGTTGGTTTAAAGGACATGTGTTGTGCATTTTAATGCTCTTCATTGTTTTATACCAGCTCAACCTGGTGAAAAGATTTTTCCATCCAGACTTTGTTCCTTTCCTTCACAATAATTTTCCATTATGTTTTTAGCTTTCACAGGTTAAGCCTTGATGAATTTTCTGTATACACTGTATCTGGTTTATTATAATTATTAATCCTCATTGAACTCTCTTAAAAGAGAAGCAACAAAGCATTTCATCTCCTGCACTGAATGGACACTTCTTGTCATTTAAATATTCTCTGTCAAATAGATGTAAATAGCATCTGGTATATCTGATGAAATCTCCATCTCCTTTCTGGCTACATAAAGCTCGCTGAAATGATTCTGACACCTTGTTACTCAGACTCATTAGTTATGCCGAATCATCATTGCTATAAATGCAGACTTTAATTCTTCCATTGCTCCCTGAAACAGTACTGCCAGGTTCCACACGAATTCTGGAATTCCTTACATTTTATGAATATCCCTATTCTCATTTCCTAAAATATCTTTGTTATTGCTTTCCTAGGAGCTGATTTTGGTCATCACTTGAAAATGAAGTTGTCATAAAATGGCCATGTTGACAGATGGCATAAATGGCATAGCTAATCAAATCTGCTCCAATGTTTTAATAGCAACAGGGAATTATCACCATGCTACTAAATGAAGGTCTTAAAAATGCAGTCAGTAAACGGGTGGTGCACTGAAATGACAATTCCCATTCTAACTCAACAACGCAGCAATGATATTAGCTGCTATGGCTGACATCTCACTGACATATTCCTCACAGGAACTTCACAAACAGTTTTGCTTGGAGCCTATCTCCTTCCTGATAAAGCTGCTTTCTGATAATATTGTTTGGGCTCATCATTGCATCAGTAGAAAAAGTTAAATAAACAGTGTCCAGGGTTTAATGTGTTTTTCTTTAAGGTAATGTCATCTGAAGAGTGGCTCACATGTTTGAAAGAGCCATGCCAAGTCCTTGCATGTTGAATTCAACTTTGGGTGGTTTGTTAATTCCTGAGGAAAAATCAACACGAGCAATGTTACTCGCCACTGCGTTTCAGTACTTTGTCAGAAAAGACATAAGAACTGTAAATGAGTGCACCTAGGATAAGCTTTTGTTCATATAATTTTTGGAGCCTTAAGTCTGACACCATTTAGATACAAGATGAAATCTAAGATAAAAGGTCATTAATCCCTACTAGGTTTAAGTACAGTTGGGTTTGAATTAGCATGGATATGTAACTGCAGTAATTGCCTCTATCGTGGGAATTTATGGAGTGGCTTGAGGTCATGTCTAAACATTGGGCTTCATTTTCAGATGTACAGTATATCCTCAAACCCATTAGATTTTAGCCAGGGCAGTATGACTAAAATGTAATGTGTTTGTGTCTATTCAGTATATCTGAAAATTAGTCCAGTTCTCCTTCAAGATGGGCACAGAAGTTCCTAATGAAGCTCTTCAAACTTTAGAGAAAAGTAGGGGAGACAGACTTCAAAACAATATGTTCTATTCATACCTGGAATGTCACATCATCATTTTTTTCTGCCTAGTAAGGTCCTCCTTGTTCTCTCAAACGTTCATGGAGGCAAAACACCACAAATATGGGGAGGCAGCACTGAGCTCCCAACATAGCACTGATTCATTCACCCTTCAGCAAGAAAAAACTTTATTCCCATGGCCTTTATTCCCATGCATTGGGAAGGAGACCTCTGTATTTCTCTAGAATACATTTCTGGTTTGGGCATCTTTTTTCTTCACTGCAATAGGTTTTTGGAAAAGTCAGTTGCTGTAGAGTGAGTGGTAATTAACACCTGTTAGGGTTGGGGTATTTTTTTTTAGTAACATTGCAGATGGTGAATTGTGGATCAGTGCAAGTACAAGAGAATCAAACTTTCTCAAAATCTTTTGTCAAAGACATTGTAGATTCTTCTCAGAATAATTATATGGAGAAGTTTATTATCCCAAGTGTGCTGTTAACATTGTTTACATCCTCTTGTAACATCCTCTCCAACTATAAAAATAATTCCACTGTTCCATTCTTCCAAATGCACATGTTTACCTCAGTTAAAGTAGGGTAGTACTTGGCATGTCTTGGCATCTTTCAGTTCACTGAAAACAAAAAATTATCCCATAAATACTGCTAACCATAACTGTGGCCTTATTTGCTTGCCTAGTCTTATTAAAAGACAGTGAGAAAGTTATGTGCTGTACAGTAGGGTAAATTACGACCATGGGTACAGATGACATTATCCTGTCTCACAACAAAATACTACAAAAAATGATTGCAGAAAACAAACAAACAAAAACCAACAAAAAAATGAAAAACCCTAATAGGGGAGAATCTCTTTCAAAGTCGGACATCACGGTTTAGTTATTTGCTTGCAGTTTTAATAATGCTTTTTGTTTGTAATGCTACCTGTTTTCTAGGAAACCCTAAGCTACTGTATAAACACTGATAACACACTTGTGAAAAGGGGATTGCCAGTGGAATCATATTAAGGTGTTACAAGTTGCTTTGTAATTTCTCTGCTACATATTGCAAATGAGAAAGGATATTACAAGCAGGTTATTAACCTCACCTAATTTGATAAGAAATATGCATGTAACAAGTTTTCTATAGCTCGTGAGGAGGTAGAAGCAGCTGTATAGTATTCCTTAATTGTCATGAAGGCTGTTCAGAGGAGCTGTTATCTAAATCTGTGAACACCGATTGTATCGTTGTATGTGTATCTTGATGTCTCAGATCACCTTGCTTGATAAAAGCAGTGACTGGTTCACTACATCCTTTGTGGGAGAAAATTTTCCTGGCTAAGAAGTCTGGACAGAAGTAATTAAACCAATTGATATCCATGTGGCTGACATCAAACTTAAAAATGCCATGGCTCAGTGCAGTCTTAATAATAATTATCCAGTGGAAGGGAGACATTCCTATTTAAAAACTATACATTAAAAAAACAAACCTAAAATGAAAACTCATTCGTTGAAACACCTTTCCCTGAAGTGGATTGATTGACTCATATTGCAAGCAACAGCCTCTAGAATACAAGTAATACCACATAAAACATATGGATTTTAAAATAAATCACATCATTTACTTATTCTCTCTGTCATTCTCTTCCTCTCCCTTCCTTTCTTGTTCTCGCTTTCCTCCTATTTCCATCTGGACAACTTTATTTCATCATTTAAAGATGCTCCAGCGGATTTGACCGTCACCGACAAGATTGGGTAGACAGTGGCTGCCCTGAAGAGGTATGTAAGTAGTTTACATCCTCAGCCCATCAGAGGCCATTTATATACTTAAGATGCTTTTGATTAAATTTTTCAGATGAGGCATTGTTTCAAGGCCAAAGACATGCTATATTTATCTTTAGCATTCAGTGGAAATGCTGTAAGGCATAATAAAGAAAAATAGGCTGAGCAATTTCATTCCCCATTTGAGGGAATAAAATGAACACAAAGTAAGAATTTTATCTCTTAGAAAGTAGCTTAAATATAAAATAAAAATAAAAGAAAGCCTGCCCCAGAACAGTGTCCCTGGATGTTTTTCTCTTAGAAAACCTCTTAGATCTCAGACTCTTGCCAGAAAAGGGGAAGAAGCTGTGATGTTCCTCATCCCAGAAAACCCTCCGCCAGAGTAGTCTCAAGTGAAAAACAGGCACTGCATTTTGGTTATAAAATCTGGCCAAATCATTTAGTACAGAAGAAATTACATAGATGAATTCAAAGAGATTAAAAAAAACCCCACAAACCTACAAGGCATTTGGAATTCCTTTCATGGAGAGGCAGTGAGAGAACAAGAAAGATACCTGTGTTAGTGGTGGACTGTCAAACAGGGACGATTGGCCGCCTCTGAAAGAGTTACTCAGTGTACTCCTGGACCAGAGCAGTTAATTTTCAAGGCACATTTATATAAATATCTTAATGCTGGTTCTTTCCCAGTGTCCTACCTTTAAAAGTTTTTTTAGTTTGGGGATTGGGTTTTTTTGTTTTGTTTTATTTCATTTGGGGATTGTGGTAATAGGAACAAATTAATATATGACACTTTTAATCTCCTGATGGCCATAAAAAAGCAGTTACTTTTCCATTTTGGCTGAAAGGGCTAAATTCTGTCATGAGTTCAGCAACATAACCCTTCTGAAGTGTAATGTCAGGTGAAACTAAGGGCAAAATGTAGCCCCAAGTGTCTAGTTAGAAAAGCACATTCTGTTTTATTCTCAGTAGAAGCAAAGAGAAGTAATGATATAAATCCAGTTGGTTGGAATAATTTTTTTTCCGTGTAACTGTAATTGCAAAATAAGTGCACCCAACATACTGCCTCATTACGTGGCGTGAAGCTTCAGCTTTGCAGTTTGTAATCTGCTGATTTAAGAATGGAATTTCTGTGAGATTTGTTGTCTGTGGAAGACAACCTTTCAAGAACGTAAGTGTTACTGGGAGTATGTGTTATTATAGTGCACAACCTCTGTACTGCTTTAATCCAGATTATAATTAGCTAGGGCTCATCTCAGTTGTGCCTGTAGATGAAGTTATCCAAAAACTGCTGTCTGCAGGACAACAGCATCCCATTCTGCTTCTCCCGTCTTGTTTGAACACAACTGGTGCTGCAAGGCTTAGTGCATGATCTGAGAGGGAAATGTATCTGAGAAACTAATTGATTTGCACAGTTTCAGGCTACTTGATTGCTGCTCACAGTCCAGCCTTCAGGCCCTCTGAAGTAGAAGCAACAGCTTACTTAGCATCTTCCAGAATGATGCCTGAGCTGACTGCTGGAGTTCAATGAAGGATCAATAATTAGCATGCAGAGGTTAATTTTAGATGCATTCATTCAAGATGATGAGTAATGAGGGTACTCATAGTAATGTTTCCTTCTTTGTAATGTAGATTTTGAGATAATTTTCTATTAAATCGTATCAGTGAAATTCACAGTAGTTTTCAAGCTAAAATATGAAGAAATTTAAAGAATAATTATACTGCAGGTACTGATACCTTTTTTTAAATGTAATATATTGTTTCTGGTAAAACAAAGGACGATAAAATACCCATACATATTAAAAGAAAAACAGCAGCCACTGGGTTTTGACAGCCAGATCTCAATAAAATGAACAGGCTTTGCAGGATTCCACTTCTCATTAAAATGAAAGGGGACAGCAGGAGTTACAGGCAGTTTCCATATTTACTATTAGTTAATTGGATGCATTTTCCTGCAAACCTGTGTGATCCATAAAATAAAATATTCGTTACACCTGCAGAATTTTAAAAGTGTCCAGAAATTAAAAAAAACAAAAACAAAACAAAAAAAAACAGATTCAGGATTTGTATTCAAATATTTGCCCATGAAATAAAAGTTAAATTATTATATGATGGTGAATATTATTTGTGGTGTGCTAATATATTCTAATAATTTGTATGATTATTATAGTTTATAATACTTATAATTTATATACCTGTTATATTATATACACAGAGAATATGTTAATTTTTAATATTATGTAGAATTAATAGGCATACAGAGAATATGTTTCTCTATAGTGTGGTATATAAATATTCTATAGGTTGGATACATGCACACATTTTACACAGGTATGCATATTCTTCTGTGATAAATGGATGGAAAGCCTAATTAAATGCTCCAGTTAACTACACATTACTATGAAGAGCTACAGTTTAATTCCCACATACCTTTTTTAACACATGTTATGGCACCCAGACCAACGGCAGTGAGCATTCACAATAGAAGAGTGAAACTTTGAATTATAATCTTAGACGTTAAAATCTGATTGGTGGAAATAATATGTTTGACATTCAGGGATGACTTTGAAGCCTTGTCATTAACAATTGGGAGTTGTAAGTTTTGCAGCTAAATGAAAAATAGATGTTGCTGAATGCTGTGTAGAGCACTTCAAAGGAAAAAAAAAAGAAAAAAGAAAAAGCTCTTGAAATTCCTTGATTTAGTGTTTCCATTTTCATTCTTTTATCCTGACAGCTTGTCCGTGCTTAAATTCTTCATTCAGTGACAGTCTCCGCTGAGAATTAATTTTCTGTTCTTTGTTTTTGTTGCTTCCTAACAGTCAAAAGATAAGATTTGTGAGAAGAATATAGACACAACTGAAACACTTCCATACTCCACCACCACCCTTCTGCCAACCACCACAAAGTTCAGAGTTTTAACGACCACCAGAGGCTCCACCACTTCGCACCTGCCAACTAGCCTGCCCACAGAAGGTGAAGTGCATACCCTGCATTATTCTATAGTGCAAACGTGTCGTTTACAAGTCTAAAAGAAATTTAATTCCTTTAAGTTGGTGTTGACCTTTTCTCTTTGGGGCAGTGGAAGGAGTGGGGAACTGCAGTCAAGGCAATTATCTGCTAATGCTTTTAAACTGCAATGCGCTCTCCCGTCAGTAAGGTGCCAAGGGGAGGAGCGTTGGAGGAGGGGACGGTGCTGGGGGAGCAGGACAAGCCAGGCAGACTTGTGGAGAACTTGTGGTTGCAATGGGTTTTTCGTGTTCCTTCAACCATCAGGCCATAGTCCAAAGTCTGTTGAAACAGTAGAAGGAGAGGACCCTGCTGAAGTTATTGAAGAAACACCTATCACGGACTTAATGAATTTTTAATCTCTTTAGGTATTCTATTTAGCCAGGTGAAAATTAGAGATAACCCAAATTAAAAACCAATTTGAAATTTGCCCGTTTAGTTTTTTTCAGTCAGTTGACACTGTTCTTTTTGTGTAGCGCTCACTGTTGCGGAATAGTTTCTATAGGCTTCTGAACCGAATTAAGTGGGTGAGTGATGGTGTGTCAGTTCTCATCCTTGTTCCACTGGCTGCTTACATCTTGCTTCTCTGTGGCTGAGATTTCCTGCCTTCCTGCTTCTGGAGAAAATTCAGCCGGGCGTAAAAGCTAATTCAGATTAATCAAATAGCATCTCTAAAATGGGGGGCGGGGGGGTGGTGGGGAGGTGTTCTGTTAGAATTATATGTTAACACAAGAAAAGGTACCAGGTACAGGCAGATTTTTTAAGTGGCCTGTGACAGGAAAATGTGAGCTGAAGGCATTTCAAGGTGGGAATCTACTGATAAGAATAGTTGTTTTTATTTGCAGCAAGAGAAGTTTAGAAACTGTCGGTGCAGGATTTGGGCTGCATTAGAAGCATTATTCCCTGACATTTTGTTTATGAAAGCTCACAACAAGAAGAGGAATAGGGAAATAAATAGGATTTTAAACTGGTAGACCCTTTAATGATTTTTAGAAGAGGAACTAAGTCATTGTTTTATTTTATTGTCATATGTTGGTTCATATAGTCCTTAATATGATAGAATGCTCAAGCTATGTATGAACAGGTAACATAAATGAATTATTTGTGTTATGAGAGACACTCTAGGACCCCTATTTACCAGTATTTTGAATCCTCCTTTACACTCTCACTGTAACACTCTCATAAACAGTTTTTTAGTAGTAAGGAAGTAAATACTTACAGTATAAGTAAGAACACCACAATCTAATTCTCATGGCAGTGAGTACAAAATCATTTTCTAATTGTGGAATTTCTTTGACATTAGAAAGTCATTCTTAAATGACTCATGACTTAGAAAAATGCATTTTCCTACCACTGACTTTGAATTTCCTTTATAGATGACACCAAGATAGCGCTGCACCTAAAAGATAATGGAGGTAAGAGATGATTTTTTTGTCTGTAAATAATGTCAGTAGTTTGTCAAATTATACCCCACTGAACTTCTTTAATCAAAATCAGATTGTAGAAATAGCTTTTACCAGACTCCCAAGGGACTTCAGCCTTCCACATCTGTGTGCAAGAGCAGCAGGGCAAATAAGCTTAGAAACTGCTTAGTAAATTAAACGTTTACAACTCTCTTTATAACTCTTTAATAAAACAACAGGTTTAATAAACTTCCAAATATAGACGTATTAAGTAAATTTTAACTGTATTAATACAGTTAACTATTATAATAATATAGTATTATTTAACTATTAAGAAAGGATATAATGCTAGTTCTAAATAGTAATATTGTGTTACAAATTCGTTCACAGTGGTGAATTATTACATTACATTCTTTTAATAAATATATCCATTTTATACCTATGTCTCAGTACCAGCAGAGATCATGTATTTCTCGATGCATGTTCCCCGTGCAAGTTAATAAGATCACCTTGTCTTACTGATAAAGGCCTCTGTCAAATGAGGCTCTGCAGGGGACTACTTTTGTCATCTTTGTGGGTTCAAGGACTGAGACCTGAGGTTTGTTCCTTCTCCCTTTGAAGCCGATGAGGATTTTACTGTTAGTTAGAATCGGACTGGGTCATTAGATGTGGGCTGCATCTGTATTCACTGCCGAGGTAGAGCTTGCTGAGGAGGAAAGAAAGTTTTGGGTTGATTTCTGCAGGCTTCAGAACGGTCTGTCAAAGCAGAGGACAATTTGCTGAGCAAACTGAAATAAATTCTATTTCCACTGATGTAAAGAGGAATATTTCTGGTTCTGATTGTGTTTCCTCCAGGCAGGGAGCATCAAGCTTCCCTGAGGGGCAGGGGAACCGGCAGCGAAGCATGGCAGCAGGCACAGGCAGGGTGCAGGGTGAGTCCAGCAGCTCAGGGGAAGCAGCTGAGGTCAGCCCCAGCCTAGTGACCATCAGCTGAGTCTGCAGTGACAAGGCAAGCCCAGGGTCAATGGAGGAAGCCAGGTCAGCAAGGCAAGGCTGGGACCGGTGAGGGAGCAGGCTAGGCACAGCAGCCAGCAGCACAGCTCAGGCAAGGACCAAAGGAAGCAGCTCCCGTCAGCAGTCCCAGAGAAGTGAGGTGATGAACCAGGTCCACACAGGGAGTCCAGTCAGCAGCAAAAGGAGACAGGGCCAGAGATAAGTCTACAACACAGCTCCAAGGTCCATTCAAGCTACTTTCAGCATAGATCCAAGGTTGGTCCAGGAGACAAGATCAGAACTGAGGCTGAATACAAGTTCACCTACAACGTAGCTTTGGTTTGGGCTTGAGCTTACATGGAGTCCCCAGCCCCATGGGCAGAGGTTCCAGGTACAGAGGTCAGGACAGCTGAGGCATAGTGGTCTCTCAGGGCCCTCACAGAGAATTATTCAAGTTTTGAAAAAACACATGTGCAGATGCCATTTAGCATTTAAGTCTGTTTTCCTGTCATTTGTTTTTCAGTAATATTCAGCCATTGTTTTCTCCTTCCCTCAAATTGGAGATCTGCTCATTCTACAGGAGGCAGTTGCCATCCCCTTCCTTGCCAGTTGCTCCTCTGTCATTTTGCTGTCACTAACCACAACATAGCTGGTCACATGCTGTACTGGGCATTGAATCGTTCATTTGTTGGAAGTGTTGTTGTTTGACATGGCTTTGACACATAAGTGATCCCTTGGAATAAGGTAATCTATAAACTCAGGGTGGCACTTCTAGGCGTTTTGTCTATGGGAATGTCCCTGAGCCTTTCTTTCTCTTGCTCTTCTTGAAATCAAATTGCTTTTTATTTTGTTGTGAAAAGTGCTTCAGTGCTCTTAAAGATCAATAGACAAGGTGAATCAGTCAGCACTTCACTCTCCTGTTCCATCTCCGCTCTGTACGTACGGCCCATTCCCAGCTGAGCTGTGCCCACACTCTGCCCCATGAGCCATGGCTCCATGGCAGGTGGCTGTCCCGGGACCAGGCAACTCTGTCGTGAGCATCTCATAAACAGCTCAAAATAGTATGCTGTTATATAAAAAAAAAAAAAAATTCAAAAGGTGGGCTTTAGAAAACACATCCCAGTTTCTTTTTGTTTGGGAATTGCAACAGGATTATCTTTTCCTTTGTCTACTCTTTGCCCAAGATCTAAAAAGATAAACACTGTGAAAGCAAACAAATATTGAATACTAGACCAAGTGAGGGATGGCCATGGCCTACTTGATAGAGTGAGGTGGTAGGGTTTGTGGCATCACTTGTCTTAAATACAGAAAGTCCATTTCCAGGCAGAAAGCTACTGCATTTTAGGAGAACAAACCAGCACCTGATGTGATTATTCATTTTCCTTGAGCTGTTTCTTTTATTCTTGAAATCTAAAAAAAAAAGAAACTGACTTCAAACAACACAGAAGCAAAGCAACACACCAGGATTTCTCATTCACACAGTAAACGTGGCTTTTAATCTGAGAAGTTCTTTTTGATGAATCTTCAATCATGCATTGAATTTTCTAGTGACTCCTAGATTAGGCTCAGATAAAACCTCTGCAGCCGCAGGGCCGTTCTTTGATTCTCTGTGATTCGTCAGCTTTTCATAAAGAGTAGATTATTTCAGGTCACGAATACAGGGTCTTTACTTTCTCACACTAGATCCTTTAAAACTCTAATGAAAGGGAACCTTTTATAATGGAAAGCCAAAGCTATATTGGATCAATGATGGCCTATATCTTGATGTGTCCTTGGATGATAGCAGTCAATATCTGATTAGGTACAACAAAAGGATTCTATAGAAACTCTACATCTCACCTCTGCCTGGAATTTTTGAAACCAAATGTTACAAAGCAGCAACTAAATTTGAATTAAATTTTGGGTTTAGGTCAAACTGCTTTGACCCTTTAATTATATGAGAAAATCAGTTGCAAGTTAGTGCTGTAATTCACCCATAATTTTTTGTGGCATATTTTAGCATACATTTCAAATTTACTTGTTTCCGTTTCTTCTGTCTTTCCCCTGTCTTCATAGACACATGATAGGTGCCTAATACATGCATATAAACTATTTTAAAATATAGCTGGCATGCCATCACGATTTTTGTTACATTTAATTCTCTTTAAAACAAAAAGCATTCTGTATGTTTTAAGATATGTCTAGCACTGCAAATGTATATTTTTGTTATTAATGGCAGATTCTGTTGCTGTTTTCGTTTTTCTTATAACACAACACAGCTGACTAAACAGTTTAAAAGCCTAATTTTTCATAAAAATTGTGAGCAATTGGCTGTGGCTGTACAGTAATGCAGTATTTTCCTGTTGAGAACTCTTTGGTGGATGATTTAGATGATTGCCCAGCACATCTAGACATTTTATTCGACCTTTTTAAGCACCTTGTGATGATTTGATTGCTCTGAGTCTCTCTCAATCCTGCAGCTTTATAAGTCAAAAGAGAAGTGCATATGTGTTGGACAGTAAGTCTCAGAGAAACTGCCACACTTCTCGTTCATCAAGATGTACAGAAATTACTGTTACAAAAAAGTAAAGCTATGCAAAAAACATCTACCTGAGGGAGAAAGCTATTTTCTTTATATGTGAACAAGTCCATCCCAGCATATGCAGTGCTAGGAAATGTCTGTGTCCTGATAAATTTCACTCTCTGGTGGACTTTTTCAAAGATGGTCTAGATATGAACGTTAGTGATGTACAGGATTAACATCAGTGCTATCCAGAGTTTAATTCGAGCTTGAAAGATTGGGAAACTTGGTAAGAAATGACCAAAAAGCAGACCCAAGTTTTGAAAAAAGGTATTTTTAGATACCTTATATGCAGTGATAAATTTACCCAGAGAGGGATTGTTTTTTTAAAAGTCCCTGATGCCTGGAAACTAGCTCCCATTAGTCATCTGTCGTCTTAATTTCCCTTAAAAATTGCAGTCTGAGCTCTTCCTACCATAGAAATTCTTGACAAATTTTGGAGAAGACTCAGTCCTGTTTTTCTTGTGTACCGTGAACTCCAACTGAAACATCTTGAACACTAGTTCATGCCTGCTAATAATCATCTAACTTATTTCTTTCCAATATGTTGTTTCTAAATGATCCAGAAAATGAGACGTATTTCAACAAATAGACAAGTCAACCTTTTATGGAAAACAAATATTTTTGACATAACAAAAGTTATTATGGCCACACAGTCCAAACTCTTCTTTTGGTCCTCTCTCATAACCAGTGGCAAGTAATAGGCACGAGGAAGTTTCTGAAGTGCGATAAGTTACTATATAGATGTGCCTATCTCTATCAGCTACAGAGAAAAATGTAAATGACATGTTAAGAGTAGGTGTCTTACTTGTAGGTACCCAAGGTTTCCTTACATTAAACTCTCTTCAGGGTGTCGCAGCTAGTGTGTGCTGTGTCCATTCCTGTCCATAAACCTGGTAGGCCAGGATTCAGACCTCTTCTTCCACTCTTGTCTCATGAAAAAGGGAAGGTTTAGGGATTTTACCATTATTGCAAAAATCTTGTTGAGATTAGGTTATGGATAATATATGTTTACTTCTGTATGTTCCACTTACTTCAGACTGCTGATGTTTCCCTAAAATTGCAGGGTTCATACAATTTTAGGCAAGCAAGGATCTCTTTGGAGACAACTTGTCATTGTTACTTTATCTATGCTGTTCTATATGCTGTGTTTGATAAAAAAAAAATTATCAAGGAGCAGCTTTGGAACGGTTTCAGTAATGAGGGAAATAGAAGAAGACATAGAGAAAAGTATCAGAACACAGAGGTCAGCAAAATAGGTGGTGATGGATAGAAATGTGTTAATAGGACAAGAATATGAAGAAAGGTAGATTCAAGAAGAACAATTAGCCACCTTGATTATCAAATAAACCAAAATGAGCCTTGTAAACAGAGTTTATCAGACTTTTTACCCTTTTTCTTATATTTAGGTAGGGGGAAAATTCCAAAGGGAACAAATAAAATATCACTCAAATAAGTCAACGAGTCTTC